AACAACAACAACAACAACAAGTTGATGCGGCATAGGTAGATTATAGGAAGTGGCGGCCCGCGGAGTTCAAGGAGAGGAAGAATGATATGAGGGTCGGGTGATGATGTTGGAGATGTGGGTTGCATGGATATCTCAGACAAAAGTGGCCATAAGGGGCGTTGCATCTGCACAAAGTAGATATTACCTTACTATCCAAAGACTTCAAGTCTTGTACCCCTGTCTGGTATTTCATCTCATATCTTAGGTATCCAAGCGTTTTCACTCCCAGAGCCCAAGTCCGCATCACAGACCTGTTATTGCCTCAAACCTCCATTGGCTTGCGTGAGATCCCATTAGATCCAACCCGTCCTTGGTGTCCCAGTGTCCCATTATCCTACCTGTCCCAGCACCTGAAACCCCCAAATCCGCATTCTAGCAATGTACCCTATTACATCCATATAGGCATCGTGAGAAATATCGTCCACCGTAGGTACCGTTTAACATTGTTTTCCATCGCTTTCGCTTCTTCTTTTTCTTATTATGACTCTCTTACCAAGAGAAAGTCATCAAAGCCGGGTTCAACGCCAGCGGCAACAACAAATGACTAGCTGCCACGGTCGCCATAGGCAAGATTGCCACAAAGTCCGTAATATGCCAGGAATACGGAATAAAGGGTGCCGTGGCGAGGATAACCATGCCGACGATGAAGACGATGGAGAAGAGCATTGAGAATTTGAACTATCCACTCAAAGTTTGTCAGCAGTCATCATTCCACATTCATATCGTATGGATAGGTACGGAGGGGGGGGAAGGGGACATACCTTTTTAATAACCTTGGGCACCTCGATAAAGAAATTCGAAAACTCGGCCTCCTTGCTCGTCGCGCCCCACGTCATGTCAATCTCAAACATGTGCGCCAACAGCGCCTGGCTGACATGCAGCGACAGGCCACCGAGGAAGATGGCCAGCATGAACGTCCACTTGAAGTTCTCGATAAGGGCCGCAAGAAGACTCTTTTCGCCCACTCGGTATCTCATCACGGCCAACGCAACATTACCCAGGCCGTTGAACACGAGGATGATTGAGAACCAGACCTGCCACGAGTCGATGTAGTACTTGTCCAGGAACCCGTTGAACCAGCCTATGAGGAAGTAATTGCAGGACGTGAGAATCCACGCAGCGCCAATGGCGTAGTAAGTTCCAATGTAGGAGACGATGGTGATTTTGGAGGTGAAGCGGATGTTGGAGAAGAGGAAGCGGCAGAAGAGAGGGGTGAAGGGGCCCTTCCAGAACCATTTTCTAATGGGGTGGAACAATAGTTCGTTGCAACCGTAGGCGTACTTCTCCCAACGAGCAAGTTCATCATACACGGTGAGCGAGACACCCTCCTTGAAGCCATCGCCAGCCCAGGCGGCCAGGCGGATGATGTAATCGTTGCATTGCAAGCGCAGCGCCATGTCGAAATCTTCCGAGACGTGACTTTCAGACCAGAACTTCTCGTAGCCATCTTCGTCCTCGTACGAGACTTGTTGGATGGCTGACCAGCGCAGGATGGCATTGTGACCGACGAAGGGGGCGACGTCGCCGTTGGAGACGGTGTAGCGAATGGCCGTATAAATGAGGTTCGTGAAGAAGGTAATGCCGTTCTCAAAGTAGGTGTGAACGACTTGCATAACACCGGACGAGAACTGCATGATACCGACGTCGGGGGACTGTTCCATTTCGGAGACAGCGTCGAGCAGGCAGTCTGAGGGCACACGGGTGTCGGAGTCGATGAGGAGGATGTAGTCGCCCATTCGGATATTGCCATCTGCCCAAGCGCGACCGTCTTCCTCGAGAACATCCTTCAGAGCTCTTTCGTAAGCTTGGGCTTCGTCATGCTGGGACCAGTCGGTATGTCTGGGTATTTGGGTGAGCTTTTCTTCCACCTTGCACGAGATCATAAGTGCAAAGTTCATGTTGGAGGCCTTCTTGAACTTTCCGCGACGAGTGAAGCCATTTTCGCCATGCCGGGGTCGTGCAACCCATCCGATGCTGTGGTCAGCGTAGAACTCAATACGGGCTTGGCGATCTTCTTCCGAGATCAACTGAAGACCGTCATCGTTGATGAACATGTTGGCTGAGCCTCCTTGGAGCTCATACGTGGACATGGCATGCTTGATGGATTTGACTGTAGGAGCAATGACACCACTGAGACCCTCCTTGTACACGGGACATTGAACAGTAACGTGGGGAAGTGTGGCTGTTTGTAACCTGGGTGGTGGTCGGGCCGAGTAGAACTTGGAGTTGATCGATAGCTGCTTGATGGGACCAAAGATCTGGGCCAAGCAGCCGGTGATGACCTGAGCGAAAAAGAGTGTGAAGAAGATCTGTACGGGCGCAAGAGCAGCGAGAGCCAACCGGGTGTAATTGCCGTCGACCATGACCTCAATCGCCAGCTGTCTCCAGGCGGATCCTAAAGAAACTGTGACGACGACCAAGGTGATACTGACGAAGTAGGTGTTGAGGAGGTGGACCGGTCGTACTTCGGGCTTCACCTCGCCACTTTCCTCGTCGATCTCGGTAGCGTCCACAATGGGATTGGCCTTTTCTTCAATTTCGCCAGGTTCACCAGTCTTCCACACGAGCTCCATGAGCTCCGACTCGATTTCCTTGGCTCTCGGGATCAGATGGAGTGCATCGTCGTCCCAAACTACCAGCAACCCCTCTGACGCAATGAAGGCGGCGAACTGATGCTTCCTGGCGCGAGGGAGATCTTCGATTGTGGGTAGGATTTGCACTCGCAGGCCGTTCAGAAGCGGCACATCAACGGCATCCGGTGACCATTGAAGGAAGGTCTTGATGACTCGTGAGTTGACAGTCATTGCGCACTGTCCTTTGTTAGCTCGGAACAGTCGATGATTTCCCTGGAGACCATACCTGAACATTGAGAGCAGCGCATGCCATGGCAAACGGCGAGTTCCCCAAAGTCGGCGGACAAGCCATGTATTGGCCCCTTGACTTTCGAAGAAGCACACCCTCGATCTCGCCGCTGCCATTGGCTACCCATAGATATGAGCATTGTTGCTGGTAGAGGTAATTGACCATGACCTCATGCTTGATATCTTCCATAAACATGGAACTGGCATTCGACATTGTCGAACGCGTCGCCGAGTGAGATCTTGAGCCAGACCCATAGCGGGCCTGTGGGGGGGCGAGTACGCCGCCATCGTCCAGATCAACTGGTACATTCCCGGCCGAAGGTTGACGACCTCTCGGTTGTTTTGAGGCAGCGTGTTGTTGGGGTGTTGGCTCTGGCTTCTTCGCCTTGAAATAACTTCCTATTCCCATGGCGTCGTCGGAAGCCCAACCCTCCCCTAACCGCTTAGTATATGAGTTAGATTGCTGAAGCCTTTTCCCCCTTGCGGAGAGTGAGTGACTGAGGGGAAACGGGATGAAAGGAGCAACGTTCAAAGGATTGACCGACGTCCGTGATAAGTGGGAGAGGTTGAAGTTGATGCAGTTGGTCTCGTGCCTGTGATGAATCGGTCAGCTCATGGTTCTTAGAAGACCCCTCTCGGGAGTCCCTGGAATGGTGACGGGGGTCGGCATACGGGATGTTTTCTTTGCCTTGGACTACGTCTGTTTGTAAGCGATCTGCATCTAACACCGTGAGACAGCTGTGTAATGTCGGATAAAATGCTGGTGTTGCGTGGTTCAAGGAGAGTAGTCGGGTATGATGTGTGGGATTCTGTTGTGTGGCCTGGATATCAGGGGACCTGCTTCTTTGCGCCGATCTGTCTATGTTATGTCGGAAGTCTAATCAAGCCAAACGAGCGTGAGGATGTGCAAGAATGAGAGGGGATACCGGGACAGAAAAGAAAGGACTGGGCCTTTCCTCAACTGGATGGCATGCTCGTCGTAGCCAGACGAGTGGCTACCCTTTGGCAAGCTGACCTTTCTGATAAGAAAGCCAGTCTGGAATAGACAGAACACGATGATTTGGGCTGGATGTTCAGGGCAAGGAGCTAACAGAAGAAAGGTGTGGAGGTCCAGAGAGGTAACACGGAGGGGAAACGAGAGACCCCCTAGGAGCATGATCCGAGTCTGTTCGAATACCGAGGATTACAAGAGCATACAACCGTTTCGAGGTGTATCGATGACCGTCAATGGGGGTGTATCCCGGTAACGTCACCAATGTTTGTACGACAGTACATGGCGAGGAGGTACCTTGCTGGCCCATGGTACCAGTGACCACCGAGGCACTTGCCCTTGTCTGCCCTCCGCCCCTCGACACGGCCAGCATTCCCAAACGTCTGGCTGACAAAACCGATGGCATAGAGATGAGAGATACAGGAGCCGGCCAACGAAAAGGTCGTTGTTGTCATGGTGCGGTAAACAGAGCCACAGACTTCACTTGAGTCAACGTGCTTTGATCTGTGAGAGGTGAAAGTGAGGACTGCAAAGTCGTGCCTCAGGCCTGGCCTCACTGGGAAGTTCAAGCAGGATCCAGAACCAACATATGGTGTGTTCAGGTGTGTTGAATCTGTCTGTGGCGGCCCTGGCAGAGACAGACAGAAGCACATCTCTGCCTGACATACCTGGGCCATCAGATGGGGAGTAAAGATGAGGCGGCCGCTTGTGATAAGAAGCACTGGGGTCTGGACCCAATGTTCTGTTCAGCAATGCAGTAGGATCAAGTCAATACGGCAGAGTGCTTGCATCATTTCCATGGCGCCAATGTCGTGGTACAAGTAGCTAACGAAGCCCCAAGGGGCCTGTAGAGTATTTCGTGACAAGGGAATAACATAAAATCGATAAAAGGCTGTTAACACATGATTCAACCCTTCTTGGGACATATGAAGTGGCCACTGGCCAGTACGACCGGTTGACGACGAGGGTCAAGCCATCAATAGAAATGTCCACTGTGTAGCAATTGGCGGCCATTGGCTCAATCTTTGGCTGGGGGCTGAGCTTGTCTTTTTCGTTTTTCACGTGTCGGGAATTTGAGGCATTTTGACAACATGTCGTCCCAATCTCGCATTGCTTGATGTCTGTATTGGCGAGCAGCAAAGAGGTGTTGTGGCTGTAGCCACAGAGGTGAAGCTTCCGTTGTATGTTGTCTGGAAGAGCTGAACAAGTGAAGAAGTGGCGTTGGCAGCCTGAGGAGAAGAGGGGGCGCTTGAAGAGCGGAGGAAGAAGAGGAGGGTGGAAAACACACTTGGCTTGGCTTGGCGTTCAGGTACGAGCGGGGAGGGGGTCCAGCAATTCTCCCGTCTGCTATCTTTATTGTTCCTTTTTTCTTCCCTTTTGTTCTTTTCTGATGCGCGCCAATTCACGATTCACCGACACGCATTATCTCATTACTGCCCTCTGATCATCAATGCAACCGCCACAGGCATGTTGTTGCAGAACAGGCATGTTGTTGCAGAACAAGCAGCCGGATCGACAACAACCTCGACCATCACAGATCTCAACACTCTCCATTCACCGCAAATATTCATCAACGTTGATCAACGCCAATATCACAAGATGACAATTTGAGATCAATTCACATTTTCGACGCTTTTCATTCGCACAGTGTTGCTCGCATGGCCCTACTTGCATGTAACATTATCTGCAAGAAGATGCACAAGTCTTGGCACGTCACAATCGAACATTGGAAGCAGTGAGCTGAATCTCTCGCACTCGTTGCTGTTTGCGCAGCCACTCAGGAAACAGTCAAAGATAAGCTGTATGGATTTGACCTTGCCGTCCTCGATAACCTTCTCTTCAGTTCCTCCCATGACCTGGCAAGATAGGGAACTGACAGTGCCTCAGGAAACAATAGCCTTGTACGATGGCTGGCTGACCTCCATGACCTCCTGTTCTGGAAGCTCTTCGGATAAAGCAGGCGGTTGTCTGACTCCCGTGGCGCCATCAAGGTCCGAGATCCGGGCCTCTTCCGAGACAGAGACCTTGATGATAACGCTCCCAGGACCGTATTCAGGGCAGCCTCGACATGCTGTCATCTTGACATCTGCCCTTATGCTTCCCAAGATATCGTATTGAGATGAAGTCCGAGCTTCTTCAATGCCGAAAGCAGGCACGCGGCACTACGGCAGTGAGAATCTTACAGCAGTTCACGGCAATTTGGAGCCGCCTGTCAGCATCATCATCGTCGTCAATCAACATCCTGTTTTTATCTCCGGATCAGGATCTCAGTCGCTGCCAACTGGGTGGTTCTGTCTCCCTTTACCCCTGGAGATAAGCTTTCATCCCTCGCAATAATTCCCGAGGTTCCTACCCACGCTGTCGTGCAATCATCCCGCGCGCGCCGTCGACAACAGGCTTTTCTAGCGTATTGATGGTTGATGTTGGTCAGATCAGCACAGAAGCCATTCCAATGCGACTGAGAGAGGTCTCAAAACGGCCCGAGGTTGACCACCATCTCTTTGCCATCCTCAACACTCATACGCCTCATGTGAGTACTGAAACGTCCCAATCCCATCACCAACATCCCAAAAACAAGGAAAGATGTCAGATCGTAAAGACTCAATATCCCTTCAATATCCTTTCCTCAACCATCGTTGGTCAAGTGCACTGCCAACGCACCAACCACCATCACGTTGCCCGCCCTTTATACCTCGTCTCATGCTTCATTACCAGGCACAAAGCTTGGCATTTGAAGCTACCTTGAGCCGCCCCATCCAGCCATTTTGGATTTTAGTGGACAATTGCTCACAGGTTTGCTGAAGAAAAAAAGCATGAATGGGTGTGCTAATAGCAAATCGAATGCGCGAAAAACGGTAAGGCATAGACCACCTGCCTATTTTTGGCGACACTGCGAGGTCCATGTTTTTCGGTTCTCGTATTCATCTCATCGGTCGTGCATGTTATCGGCTTTATGACTGGTTAGCGTTGAGGCGGAAGATGCCGAGGCTGTTGGAAACCGTAAGGGTTGGTAACACAGAGTTGTTGTTGCGCGGGCAGTTTGCAAGAAGAGACGGAGGCGACTGTCGAGAAGGCAAAGCAACAAACCGGGACAGGGAACTTTGTCTCCGATGCAGAAAATCGCCGGCAACTCCCAGTCCGGACTCCAGAATACCGGGAAGGCGGAGTTAAAAACCGGACGGTCCCACACCCCGCCCCGGTGTCGAAAAAGCGCCGGGTACCCCGTAGGTCTGGGTTGGGGTTTTGTCCACCCGAAGAATGGACGGGAAGTGACGGGATCACCACACCACATCTCCTCCATTGTGAGCCTCTTGGGTGGTTACACCACAATGTTGTCCTGAAGAATGTCGTCACGCGAGAAGCTCAAGCTTCTGCAACAAAACGAAGACAGCTCATTGAAGTCTACCAAGATTGCAAGGTAGCAGATTTTACACATCGCCAAACACCGTTGAAGTGTAGGAAATGTCATACTCCTCGGTTGACGCATGTCTTGATCCAGCAATAAGAAACCGAAGGAAGCAGCTCCTAACCCTGGGCTACAACGGGCAACCTAAGCTGTCTGCCCCTCCATCGCCATCGCCGAGGTTCAAAACTTTCCACACCCCCGGCCCTACCACTTATTGGAAAGTTAGTGGACTGGCCCCTGAACTTTAGCGGACAATAACAGAATCCACAGCGGGAGATCATCGCGCAGTTCCCGCCCGGGCTCCCGTCTCTCCGCCTTTAAACTGCGCCCCACTGTCTCCAATTCCATTCATCTTCAACTTTTTCCAAAGTCTTCCCCTCAACACCACCATGGAAGCCGACTCTAAACCCAAGACTTCTTTCCTCTCACCCATCCTACTGCAAGCTTTCCAAGCAGATCGCCACAAGCACTGCACACCAAAGAACGTACAAATCTGCCAAAGTTACCTATGCATACGAAAACACCAATCCAAGTTCCAAGCCCGGATTGCATCGCCTACTTACAAGTAGGTACGACGTGCCCGGGCACAGCGACCCATCACCCATCAGGGTTGCCACCCGACCCGATCCGACCAACTTGAGGAGATGCGGAATGTCCCTGGCCTGCCTGGAAGCAATGCGCTTGTTCCACCTTCACATTAGTATTAACATCACGAAGGCGAAAAAAAGAAAAAAAAACACTTCCTCGGCAATCAATCTAAAGAATCGAGAAGCTCCGGAGCTGTTCATGCTTTTTCGTTGTCTGCTAGACGCACAACAGACCGGCACGCACGAATGCACACACAGGGCCTCAACTCAGTCTTGGACCCTTTCTTCCTCTTTTAGACTTCCTCTGGGACCCTAGGAATGAAAGGGGTGTTTGGAACAGCCCTTTGGAACCAAGACCAACTGATCAAAAGTCTGAGCATCGATCTTGACGGGTTGACGAAATCTGCGAACTTTGTCTCGGGGTGCTACGCTATGTAACCTGCTGCACGAAGGCATACTGTGGTAGTGATTGATGGAAAGGGTCTAGAACCATCGATTGGACCTTGAGGCAAAAAAAAAAAAAGATGTTGATGTTCTGCATCGACGCGATTCCAATAATGTGACGCCGGTGTGCCATTCGGTTCGGTGACAAAATATAGATGCATGCATGCATGCACATGCCGGATCTGATCAAGCTGCTCTTCTGTCTTTCGGCCATGAATCGGTCAAAGGCAAAATGCAATGCAATACAAAAGATTTCCAGCTGGGAACCTTATCGCTAGCTAGATTAATACCCCCCCGCATAGGATCATTTATTGAGGCCCCGCGCTTTGCAAGCTTCGCCTTTTTCTGGACTGTATAACCCAAGGCAAAATAAGGTTGAGTAAGGTACCTTGGGATGCGTTCAAGCTCAGACGGGAGTTGAAGCTGTTGAATAACTGTAGGAACATGACATGGAAGGAATCGCAGAGACGGAAGGCCGTCCGTGGTCGAGAACTCGAGTTCGCCCGAGCATACAATACATACATATGTCAGTCACGCAATCCAGGGTTTGAGAGAGCCCCAGTGTCATTTGACCACACACTGATACGCGGTAGAGGTAGAAAGAAACTGGTAGCGAGACTTGCGAGATGGTGACCTAGACCGTCCCGGCGTCCAGGCGTTCGCTACCTTACCAGGTTAGGTAATCACCTACGGTAGATATAAGACAGGCCCCTGAAATGGTGCCCTTTTTCTCTCTCTCAAGGGCTAATGCAATGCCCGTCTTTCCCAGTCAGTTTTAAATGGCTGAATGGACAATGTCGCAACGAGTGAAGAAGAGCAGAAAACAGGACGGGGAAAAAATAAGATACAAGGGAAAGAAGTTGTCAGCGGACGGGACACACTGGCAACTATGGTTCTAAGGCGGGGAAGGGAAACTAAGTATTGGAATGTCTAGCGCAAAGTCGTGAGAATAACCTTTTCTTAAGGTAGCGACAACCTATGGAATGGAAGAAGCAAAGGGTGAGATATCAATAGCGTGAAACCAAACAGTTGCCACCATAATTTACCGCTAGGCCGTAGATCTTAAGCGCGTATAATAGGGCGCTCGGATGTCATTACGAAGCTTATTTCGACCACGACAACACCGTTCATGGCGGGATGATCCACTAGTGGTTTTGTCGCTATCAAGTTAATTACCGCCTTGAAGGGACCATTCTGATGATTAGTATGCTGAACGGTCATAACATGAGGTCATATCATCCATTCCTTTTACCAAGACAAGCGCTCTATGCGAACCAGTAGATAAAGATATGAACCCGAAAAAAAGAGTAAGAAAACCCGACCAAAAACACCATTAGGTCCATCACTAACCATGTCTTTTACCCCTAACATCCCACACCATCACCTCCCACGAACCGTTGACCTCAGGGCTAAAGCTCCTCATGCCCATCACACTGCTGCCACATCGTCACCTTCTCCACCTCCATCTGCGGCTTCTTCCACGTTGGGAACCACTGATCCTTGGCCTGCCAAAAGTCCTTTTTGGCATTCGGACTGGCGTCAACCCACGGCTTGCCATTAACCTGGTCCTCGAACCAGCCGTTAGTTCCGCCCACCGCCACGTTCAGAATCAGATAAAACTTTTGATCAAACGGCGTGTTGAATCTCCCCGTATGTCCCCACGGATCAACAGTTCTCGTCCCATTTTCCACCTGCGGGAAGTTGCCTCGCTGCCAGAGAGGCTTGTTGAAGTTTGTGTATAGCACCTGCAGCAGGCGCGAGTCGACGTAGGTGAAGAGGTACTTCTCTGACCATTCGAGACCGAAAGTGTGGAACTTGTTGGCGAAGGTGGTGTGCAAGGCCTGGCGCTTCACGTTGGTGCGCCAGAAGGCGTCTGAGTTGGAAGAAGGGCCCCAGTGCAGCGTGGAGGAAATGATGTCGTTGCCGCCTTGCGGGTAGGTGTAGTTGTTTCCGCGGGACTCTGCAAGGTCGATCTCGCCCGACTGAGGCCACTCGCCGTAGGTGCTGTTGACGGGCATCATCCAGATGGCGGGCCAGAGCCAGTCACCTTCGGGCATGCGGGCGACGACTTCTACGCGGCCGTACTTGATGGAGGCTCCCAAACGGGTGTTGAGGCGGGCCGAGAGGACGGGCGGGACGACGGAACTGTTGCCGGCCGTGGTGTTGGTTTCGGCGTAGCAGTTCTCCCAAACGGTGGAAGTGCACTCCCCGGAGTCGAGGAGATCGATTTTGGAGTTGGACATGAGGAGCTTGTCATCTTGGAGGGTAGCCTTGATGACTAGCTTGCCATCTTCGACGTAGGCGTTGTCTTTGGTGGTTTGTTGGAATTCGCCATTGCTGGTAGTCGACGCTTGTTAGCAACTTGAGTAGACGTAGGTGGGATAGAGTGAAGGAAGAAACATACCCAAAACCACCCAACTGTACCTCATGCTGCCACACACTGTCCCTAATGCCCTGACTCCAATCCTCATCCAGTACCAAACAGTACTTGTGCTGCACCACAGACCTGATTCCATCCCAAATCAGGAAGCCCGAGATTCCCAAGCCGATGAAGATGCCGATTAGAGGGATGATAGTTACCCACTTCTCCTTGGGGTGCTTCTTCAGTGCCCACGGCTTTTCTATCTCGCCCTTTCGTACTCGACGAGAGTGGAAGTATCGTTGGCCACCGGGAAGGGCTTCGTGATGAGCTGCTAGGCCGCCACTGTTCGATGATGTGTCGAAGCTTGATGGTGGACGGGTGCCATCGGGACTGGCAAAGGGGTTCTCGTTACTGCCTTCGTTGGAGTTCCGTTGGGAAGTGCGGGACTCGATGCCCGAGTCCAAGTGACGGCCGCTTGCGCGAGGGTCGAGGTCTTCTCGGTGGTCAAGGTCGATGTTCATTGCTGTGTGTCTGTGGTCTATCGGGACTGATGGTGTCTATACCAAAAGGAAAGCAACAATATGGACAAGAATAGATGACAGAAGATGGACAGTCTGTGTCTTGCGAAGTTTGCGGGCAAGAATTGCGAGACCAGGGAGGTCTTGTAACAAGAAGCTGAGCTTGGAGAATTGGCATGGGCTTTCCAGTCTGACCAACACAATATCAAAGGCTCCGATAAGCCTGGTCTGATAGACCTCCACGTGTGGCCAGAGCGATGGCAGAAAAGAAGCAAAGCAAAGGTCGGAAAAAGGAGCCCAGGCCCTATGGCGGCCCACTGTTAGTCCAGATTGGGACATGGCGACCCTTCAGCTCCTGAGTTCATTCTGGATGGCGGGCAAGATCAATGGTGTGTGACAGATAAGCTGGCAGGGCACTGAAGGACTTTGTGGCCGTCGAGGTTCTTGCGCATATCGGTGGGAAGAGTGCATCTGGTGTTGCAGTCTGGAAAAGAATCCGATCTTGAAAGTCCAGGTCGATGTCGAAACGGACCATGGGGGTGCAGGAAGGAATTGTGTCCCGTACCGATGGTACTTGGAGGCGATGTACCTGAACAGACAGCGTCATTACAGGGGCAAGGGGGTCATTTTAGCGCCCGTTGGTGGGCTGGTGGAGTAAGACGGGAGAAAGGTGCCCCGCTTGTAGGGGGGTTTGCCAATTTCCGACAGCCAAGTCCGTTTTGTTTGCTCCTCCAAGACTCCAACCTCCAGCATCACGAACCCTTCAACACTCCAACAACCCCGGCGACAACAGATGCGACGCCCAAAACGGGCCTCGTGTTCTGCGCATTCGAGTAACCGCCGCGTTGCTTGTGCTTTGCTTCTTTCCCAGGCAAATTTCTTAAAGGCAGACGAGCAGCCGCCACTCTCCTTGGCCCAGAAAAGAGCATGATCTGCGGCAATCTTGGCCTCTCCTCGGGGACGACAACTACGAATCACCACCAGCAGCACCACCTATGCCCAGCTTCAGCCGCCTGCGACAAGTCTGCGACAAGCACTCTTATCCCGAAAGCATGACCAATCCTCAGTTCATGGTCTGTACCAAGGTCGAGTCACGGATAACAACACGAGCTGAGAAACACCTGCGAACGGTGACCTGACCCCTCTCCAAGTGCCAACACACGCACATCCGTCAAGACGCACCCAGAATGTCCTCTTCGATTCCGAGGAAGCCACTCTACCCCTCCGTGGTACAATACGGTATGTAAATAGGTACTGTACTGAAACCGTCACCAGTATGCCCGCCGTTGTGGTACAGTACAAACCGTCTTACCGTCTTACCCTCCACCGAAAACTTCCCTTCTGGTTGTGTTGGTTGTTCGCTAACCAGGCACCCCCTCCAGCGATACCACGGTTCTCTGCAACGCTATATTCTGTGCAGACACGAGGGGCAAGGATGCTATACGACAGACCGCCAATCCTTTCCAAGATCCTGCAAACATTGCAAGGGAGTGACAGGCACCGGAACCAACACAAGCAAACCGTTGGGATAACAGGTCAACTGTTTGATGTCAAGAGGTCCTGTACATTGGCAGAATGTCCAGTGTTGTTGATGGACATCTACATCGCTACAAAGCCCATCCAGGGTAGCTGAAGATCAACCACCACCTCCTCCGTTTTGGTGACGCCGTGGCTGTTGTGGCTCAGGGCAATCTTCCCTTGTGCCTGGGATCCCGAAGGAGGACCGGGTTGGACCGTAATGGTGTCGCCTGAGAGAGGGTGTCGAGGAACAATACAACCCCATTGGGTTTAGCATCGTCAGCTCCTTCGCTAACCACTTGGAGTAGTTTACAGTCCCGATCACAATTTCCAAACTCGACCCAGGCTTCTCGATATCGCAACCTCACCACACCACCATGACTGCAAAAATTCCATTTTTACAACCCAGACCGTCGCCCAATTTGTTACATCCGAGACAAATACAAGGGTCGAAGAGTATCTCCTACCCACGCAAATATCTTATCTCTAGAGCCGCGCGCAAAAGCAAAGGTTGCGACTTCACCGTAAACGCCACAGCATGTGAAGAGAGCGCCATCTGTCATCAAGGACTCGGCCACAACAATGCTTTGTCGGTTTTGGGAGGCCACGCCCTTGCGGCTGACTGCTAAAGCCCCGACCTACTGTCATCTCAACACCAAGCATATTCTGGTGTTGACGGTCGTGATAATCCGGCCACCGGGAGCGGTCGGGCGCTTCGCGAGAATTGCAATGGTAATTCTTCCACATCATTTCCACCACGACAACTGTCTACTGGATTCCATTTGGACATCAGAAACAATAGGCAAAAGATAGCAAGACAGTCTCGCCAGTTTCAAGCCTACTGAGCTGGCCAGACGCCCACGGCCCAAGTCCATATTCGCCTCAGCCATGTTTCCTTCTTGTCGGCCGCCGTTCCAGCAATTCTCAAGATTACTGCAGTGATTAGGCAGTGAGACGCGCTTCGGCACCTCGACTGTAGACGGCACTTTAGACATCCCAGCATTTCCTCACACGTGGAACCAGTTAACGCTCTCGTAGGACGAGACCCTGATAGCGATCACCAGCTCCCAGGCCACCGCAAGGCTGTTCGACTTGACCCGATTGCTTGGTTCAGGGCCATGTTGGGTTGGCACAGACGTATCATCCCTGGACCATCACCGAGAGTATCCAAGAGCAAGTTGTTGGTTGTCTGGGTTTCTATTTCCATGCTTTGCTCGACCGTGTTACCAAACCACCTGCACCTTGCCAGGCGACCAGTGTCCCTTGTGTAACACTTGCTGACCCCCATGAAGATGACTCGCTCCTGGATTTTCTTTTAATCCCCTCCGCACTTCTCGTGTTGGCCAACAGCTGCTGTGTACACTCCCACAAGCTGAGGGAACTCCCGCTGGTATCGCAAGCCGTGGACGCCATAAACGCCTTGAATCTCCGATACGAAGTCTTGGGTAACACAACTACTTTGCTGTCAATTATGGGTAATTTATCCCATGTTCCCTTTCCCAACCGCTCGCTTTGCTTTTGTTCTGCCAGAAATGGTTCTGAATCACCACCACACTTGATTCCGTTTTCGACGATATCTTCATGTAATAACGGACGATTAGTTCCGCCGCTTGAACTTTGCAGTGCAGAACACGTGCGATAGCGTTTCATTGCTTTCGACTTGCCTCCGCCCTAACCTCTCTCATCAGTTCAGCTTTCTGCTCACCAATGGTTGGCCTTTACGTACAAGAATACCACGAGTGCACAAGATCAATGCGACTTTATGCACTGATATCTCTTCATTCGTTTCTGTCTCGACTTTCTTATCCACGCCGAGTGGCGCTCTGGACATTTTGCATCACTAGTCCCTCTGAGGTTTGGACGCGAACCAATAACCAAGATCCGCTTGGATGATCCGATTCTTGGCGCTGGAGGGTACACAAATGTCACCCTCCATCTTCTCGGGGTTAACTTCTGAGGCATGTGAACTTTGGTTTGGCATCTCCAGCTGAGACAGGTGCTGGGTAAAAAAGCATAAGGTCTCCAGACCGGCAGGAGATGCTAGTGGTAATTGGGGATGATGAGCATTTAGCATGAAGATGAAAAGCCTCTTTGGACATCTGTTTCGACATGGAGAGACTCTTTCAGAGGCAGTCAAGATCAAGAACCATATTTTCGGCTCTGACCGAGGAACTGTCTCCAAGATACCGAACCCCCACGCATCGGTGATATTGCCCAATCGCAGCGTTATGTCTGGACATCTTGGGCCGTAGTGTAAGTGACAACTCCCAACACACCAAGCCACAATCACAACCACTTCTGTCATCGGCGCTGTTTCCGTCCCAAGAACACCAAGGGATACCAAAGAAATCAACATCCGCCACACCACCAGCACCAACAACACACGCCTGAATAACCCAACATGAGGCACAACATCATGAACACCCGCCTGGCCCGCCACACCCACCCAACCGGTCACCCGCATTGGGCAAGCTCAGCAACCGGTGAAGATTGAACTCGGTACAGGGAGATGCGGTGTGCCAATATCAGCCACGTCAATCGATACCGGCATCTTCATTCACCGGGACTGTCACTCAGCATCCCGTTGCCCCTTTTAGCAAAGACCAAAGGGCAACGTGGGAAGGCAAAGGGCAAGGTGACATTTCAGCTTCGGTGTTTATCAGTGACAAGAACCATCTGACATCAGATATTGGCGAACCGCCGATTGAGCTCAACATTTGAGACGCACCGGTCAGTATATGTGCGCCCTTGCAGACCGGTAGTAGAAGTTCTAAACCTTTATAACGTCCTTTCTGCTGCAGTGGTCGATAGTTTGAACCTGGGCGAGCATCATGTCTCTGCAATCCCTTTCTCGCTCTTTGGACTCACAGCAGACGATGCAATGCCTATGCCAGATCTCAAATACTACCGTTGCTCGGATACACACCAATGAAAAGGCATTTGGAAGAGTTATGTGTTGTAATTCTGTTTATTGGATGTATGGAAGCTCTGTTTGAGCTGGCCAAGTTCCAGCGAACTTCAAGATGGATATCCTGAGCTGAAGCTTAGGTATCAACGGACAAGGTGGTGCACAACTGCTAAAGGTCTAGATCATCGTGCCGGATTGGGGTGTTCACGTTGTTATATACAAGTAATGCAACGCAGACTCACAAGAAAAGCTTGAAGCTCGAAACATAGAGCATGCAACTGGGAGCCATAGTGATCAATCTTAACGCAAGCTTTAAGCTTGACAGTGGATATGATTAAAAGAAGAGACAGTCAAAGGGGAAAAGCTCTGGGACTGATTGTTGCTTTGCTTGCCTCTACCTCAGCTGCTGAGCTTTCAGAACAGGTGGGGAACATGGAGTTTTGATCCTCTCCAAGTCTCAACTGTAGTATGACAGTTAAGCTATTGGAATTAACGCAACATCGTATTCATTCAATGCCTCACGTCACCGACGGTGATTCCAACTGGTCTGGCGGAAACTGGTCGTTTTCGCTTGACACACGCAAATTGTCATGCTTTCAGTGGTGTTGAAGTCGCAACTTGGAACTGAGAACTTACAAGGCTGATATCAGCCGGTCCGTCAGTGTTACGAGTGGCTAATGTCATTGTCGTCGTCACCAGCGGACATCGAAGGCATCGTCAATTATCCGGTCACTGTTGCATTAGTACTCCTTGTCATACAAGTAGAATTAACCCCATGGCAAGATTGAACTGTGTCAAATGTATGTGCAACTTTTCTGTAAGCTATGATGATGGTATGTGGTTCCTTCTCCCGGAAACTTCAACCGTGGGTATCTCCAACAAACGTGCGTTATTCTGACAAATCGTGCAGGCACCAACCATCCATACTACTATCTCCACTTTCCAGACCTGGGCTGTTGCATCATTGGATTGCATGGACCATGAATTCCATCTTCTCTTCCTTCTTCTCAAACCAAAGCAAATTTCTCTCTCTTCTCAACAAGCAAGGATATCTTCTCAACCCGTAAAACCGCTACTTAATGTCTGATGTTCAACCTTCACAACTCAACTGACAGCTCAGTAAGTAGGCAATCCAATCCGACGCAAAAACCGATCGACCATGCTATAGCCATGGGAGTCAACCATCACGTCTGTCGTCGGGGTTATCTTTCCATCATCGCCATCCTCACCCTCCCGCTCATCCTGTTCATCACCGTCGTCCTCGTCGCTTTCGTCCTCCTCCTGCTGCTGTTGTTGCAGTCTAGGCCAGGCACCAGGCACGCCAACGAGCATGAGCATGTCAGGCTGTCCCTGGGTCACCTGGGTCACCTGGACGTAAGTCGGTGGGGTGCGAGTCTGCTGGGCCTGTGTGAGAGTGGGAGTGGGAGTCTGAGTGGAAATCTGACTCTGAACAGCCTGGGTGGAAGGAGTCTGGGTCTGGCTGGAAAGAGTCTGAGTGACAGAAGTATGGCCACTGACACTGATAGTTTGACCCCCCTCGCGAATGCGCTGACGTAGCAGAGTCCGACCAAGGAGGTTGTAGCGGGCCTCGAGTTTCTCGATTGCCTCGAAAGCCGGGGAGGTGTCCCATTTGGCGTCGTCGGTAGCCTCTTCGTGATCGTGCTGGTCAACCACTTGTGGCTGGCTGGTGGTCTGGCTTTGGGTGTCGGTATGGGTATGGCCCCGGTTATGTTGCTGACTGCCCATAGAGGTATGCATTCCCTGCTGCTGGCTCTGGTGTTGAGTCTGGCTCTGCTGAGTCTGACCCATCCCACCGGAATGTCCACGCCCATTAACAACAGCCATCGCCATCCCCCACTCCGCAATTCCACCCTGCTCTCTCAAAGCCTTCTCATAATGATATCCCTTGCACTCCTTGCATAAATCCAACTCCAACACGACCTTATCCGCATCGCCGAAATACTCAGGACAATCGTTATGCACCTGCTCCTTCTCCTTGGTACTTATGTTCGGAAGATCCATAAAATGAGTGCAGTAAAACGCTGCGCAGTCAACCCATTCAGTCTTGACCTCGTTCCAGTGAATATGGCGTTGCGCGGAGTCAAAGTGGCGGGGGTAGAAGCCTGAAGGCAGCGGGTCGCGGGTGGATGGGGAGCGAGTCTCAGCGAGAGTGTATTTGATGAGTTCCTCGGGATTAGGATCATTGACGTTTTGGCGAGCCTGGGAGAGGTGGTTGAACATGTAGGCCGAGGGCACCGGAGTTAGAGTGCCGTTGGTGGCCTGGGGGGCAGCAAAGGTGAAGGGGTAGCTGCTGTTGGTGTTTTGGTTCTGGTGCATGTTGGCGGTTGCTGGGTTTGAGGTTGAAGCTGCGTGGCCGAAGATGGGGAGGGTCAAGTTGGAGGTGGGAGCAATGGGGGTGAGGATGTTGCCGAAGAAGATGTGGCTTGGAGTCGTCGAGGAGAGACCGGCGGCGGAGGAGTTGCCAGTATGGGAGGCTGGAGTATAGAAGAAGGAGGGGCTGTTGGTTGCTGAGCGTGAAGGGGTGTCGACGTTTAAGGGAGAGTAAATGGTGGAGGTGACGGCGGTGGGACCGACGGAGGAAGTCGTCGGTCCGAAAGGGGACGGGGTGGGAGCAAAGGGGGAGGCTCCGGCGTTGAGGCCCAGCGGGGTGGCGGTACCCTCTGAGGGGGAAACAGGCGGGCTGTGGACTTGGAGGGTGATTGTTGGGGCGGTGCTGTTCTGGCTGGTGGCATTGATGTTGTTCTTATTGTTGTTGCGCTCGCCAGTGGTATTGGCGTTATTGTGCCCGTTGACATGGTCGTTGACGGTCGTGCTGTCGTCAAAGTCACTCTCGGAGTCGCTCTCAGAGCCGCCCTCCATGTCGTGGCTGGGGATGGAGGAGGCAATTATGTTCTGCGAATGAGAGCAGAGTCGGTGGTTCCTCAGCACGCAGTTGCATGCGAAGATGGTTGTCTTTTTATGGCACATGTTGGGCGATTGTGCCTCGTAATAAGGTCGAGTTCGTGATTGACAATGGAAGTCGACGAATATTGTCTTGAGGTTGGAATTTCGGCGCGCGAGGCCGCAAGGGTGGGCGAGGTGGACGATTAACGACTTGAGCTCGTGGTCAGATCTTGAGGAATTTGGTGTCGAAAAAAGCGAGAGGAGAGGATGAGATTGGAAGCTCGAAGGGCCGCCTTTTATTTGGCGGGGCAAAAGGCAAGCCTGGGGGCAACTCTTGCTGCACCGCTCTGCACCCAGGAAATATTGAGGCAGCTCAAATATTCTTGCTTGCGTCAACGTCGGAGGTCCGGAAGTCGGAAGAGGTGATGCTTGGATGGGAACACGGTTGCGCGTCACGATCTGTGCGAGACCGAGCGAAGCTTGCGCGGAAGAAAGCAAGATGACGTCTAATGCTGAAGAAGAAGCGAGTGATTAGTGTGAGTCAAGAGGAGAAGGGCTGGCTTGCGATTGAACTTACCAGTTTGTTTGCGACGTTGCGTTGGTGGTCGGGTTTCAGGACGGTTTTGCTCCGAAATTGAGGTGATTGCAGTTGATGGTCGGAGGAAGAGGATGCGAAAGTTTTGCGACAGAAATGCGCAACATTTGTACTGCTGGGTGGATGGGTGGAAATCTGATGTTGGGATGAAAGTGAATTCACCGCGAGTTCAATTCACTGCTTTCGGTCACCTCAGGTTCATGGTCGGTTCACTGTTGACAGCATACCTGGACGGTGAACAGGTGCCATGGTCGAGGCTGGTCGTCAGGTCCGACTTCACTTCATCTAAGGTACGACTACGGGCGAGGATTTTGAGCATTCACGGAACTTCTGCACATCCAGGTCTGATGACATTCACCGGGAGATCAGTTCACCGCATTCCATCGTCAACCTGGCTGGACTGTGAACAGCTGTCAAGGTCATGGCAGATCCATGGCTTCACTTCACTACAAGTAAAGGTCGAGACTTCGGTCAATCATGGACCAAAATCACATGAAGTAAGAGGCCCGATGTAAGGCAGGAGGGTGGGAATGGGGGCATATTTGGGGAAGGCTTCAATTTTGCCATTACATTCATCATCCGCGGAACTATCATGTTTGCCTGAAATCCTCTTCACGTCCGAGTTCGATACCACTCCGCGTCACCTGCCAACACCAGACCGCGACCGAACACAACGAATCCCAAACCATGAATGCTCAAGCCATAAACCTTTACTCCCTTGGGCCTTTCTTTGTCATCCCCTGTCACTCGACGCTACTGACCGTGTGTATCAAGCAGGTCCCAAAAAAGAGTTCCTCGTCGCCAATCTATGACGGCTCGCTGGCGGTCAAGTTATCACCGAAGCTCAAGACCTCACTCCATGTTCATATTATCCATCAAAGGGTCCAACGACGCAATCATCTTCGGAATCCCCTCCTCCTCGCCCTCATTCAGACTCAACTGACCACCGCCGACAGGATCCTGAACCAGACCATGACCACCGGCAGTACTCTCACCCTGACCACTTCCATCTCCGTGACCATCATTGCGACCATCATCACCACGACCGCCACGGGCATTTCCCAGGTTATCAAACCCCCGTCTCATTAAAAACATCCGCATCCACACCTTCACACTCCTCACACAACCCAAACTTCTTCTCCTCCTTGTCCTCGTCACCAAAATACTCCGGCCAGTTCATGTACTCTGCCTCGCTGTTGATGATGGCGTCAAGGTGCGTACAGTGGTACGCAGCGCAAGGGAACCACTCGGTCCTCCAAACGTCCCAGTGGACGGCACGCTGGACGTCGCCCATTTTACGCTCGTAAAAGAGCCCGTCGATGATGCGGGGCGAGGCCTCGGGGGACTCGTTCGGCGGCGGCGGCGGTGGTGGTGTTGGGATCGGCGGCGAGGGTGTTGCCGGGGATGCTGGTGGCAGTGCCAGTGCCAGTGCCGGGGCCGGGAGAGGAAAAAGCACCCGGGGAAGAAGAAGCAACCGAAGAAGCAGACGCAGGCGAGAAGAGAGCGGGAGGAGCAAAACCAAGGGGAGGAGCGATGCCGGCGCTGGAAGAGAAACCAGGGGGAGAAAAACCAAGAGGACCAGAGACACCGTGGCCGGGAGCAGCGGAGGCGGAGGAAAGAGAAGAAGAAACAAAAGAGAGATGGAGGAGGAGGACGGAAGCGCTCCTTGAATTCGGCAGCCAAACGCTCCATGCGGCTCCTTTGAGCTCGCCTTCGGCTAGGCAGGCAGAATGGGGGCAGGCGGGAGTGTCGCGGAAGGTGCAGCGGCAGGCGAAGATTGTGGTCTTTTTTTAAGTCACTTGATCTTGATTTGGTTGTAATTTGTGTGTGTACGGGATGTAATGTGTGTGATTTGAGAAGAGAGTAATGCGTGGTTTGAGAAAAGCTTGAAAGAATGATATAATGAGATTCTTTGGTTCTTGGTTTGCAGGTGAACTTTGCAAGGCCTTTCTGATCTGATTCTGAAAGAAAGACGAGAAAAAAAGAAAAAAAAAACCAGGTTAGCGCACTAAACAGATGTTTCTGACATCTTGTTCACTTACCTTGATTGTTCGAAAACCAGCGAGATTTCTTTCTCAACATCGAAAAGGTAAGTCTGAGGTACGCGACTAACTTGAAGACGGAAGCAGAGCTTTGGCTTGCAGTAGAAAAGGACCGAAGATAAAGGAACCTTCGGGTTCGTGTTGTAATCAGAGTCGTTTTGTCATAGACAAAAGAGATTGAAGGGCGAAGAACGAAGGAAGGAAGAGAAGAAGGAAGGAGCGAGGTATATATAGACGTCATTATCTTGGAGTAGACTTGACAAGATGCTATTGTGCTAACATGTCAATCGGGTGACTATCCGCTACAATAGGAGAGAGTTCTATTCAGGAGAAGGTCTTTCTTCGCCCACCCACAAGCGACAGGCACCCACTTTCCCCCTATGCCAGATCTGGACGCAACAAAATAGCTTGACGTCAAAGATGCTATGTGGCTTTCTTGTTGAGTTTCTGTTATTCTCCCTTTCCCGTTACATCCATTCAACGGTTTCTTCGACGTCGCCCTCGCCTACCTCGTAATGTCCAAATTGACCTCCTTCGAACTGCGCATAGGAGGAGTGTCAGCGTCAGCATCAGTCTCTACCCGAGGTCTTCAGGATTGCTTATGATCTACGCTCAGACTTGTCGGCTCACACTCGGAGGAAGTGCTAACTGCCCGAGGACTACAGAAGAATATAAAGCACTTGTCCTACACCTTCTCCGGCTTCAACTCATCTATTCTCATCCAAAGGCGGCAGCGAACTTTTACTGAAGATGGGAAAACGAAGCTGGGATGGCTTGGGAAGGATTAATTCCTTCTGATCTTCATGTTCACAAAGGACTACATCTTGCTCAACAAGTGTCCCCAAAGACCGTAGAGTAATTGGAGAGCACCTCTACCTAGTACGCATGCCGAACTCCAATGGCCCTGGGAGTTGACACATTACTGACTGTTCCCTATCCCTAGATCTGTACTCCCAAATCATGGCGGACGCGCGCATGAACGACCTTATAAAGACGGACCATACCCTTCTAAGGCAGTCTATGTACTCCCCAGACGACAAGAAGAAGAGACCGGCTTCATGGACGACTGGTGCGAGGACAACTGGATTGACATGGCCAGTTGGAGAGACGTCTACTCCGCGGATAAGCCAAGCGGTGCGATTACTACAAGAGTTAACTTCCCCACACGCACCAAAAACTTGGATGTACGCACCACATTTTCAACCCAGCGTCTACACCAGACCGTATATGATAATTCTAAAGCTACAAAATAGGAACCCTGGGCTATTGGAAGTTTAGAATCTCCCTATAGCTTGGTTTTTACAGATTAAGGGCTTTTGGCTAGAGAAATTGCTAATCGAAGTAAATATAGCGACGTTGAGAGAGGTAGCCGTAATATCTCCCCAAATTTGAAGTTTGAAAAGGGAATAAAGTATAAGCTATATCAACCTCGGTCTCCAAAAGCAAAATGAGGATTTATTCCATTCGAAATCAAGCGTTGTAGTCAAAATCACAGCAGATTTGAGTTAGGATGGTGCGTACCTCAAAGTGTTTGGTGCGTGTGGGGAAGTTAAATCTACTACAAACCTGCACTGATACTTCTGATCTTTGAACGCTCTTTGTTCTGCTCCTGTTCCGGTCACTCCGGCTCCGATCACTCCAGCTCCAGTCACTCCGGCTCCAGTCACTTTAAGCCAGCATGTCCTCGCCACCACTTCTGATCATGAGGAGCCCGAGACCCCTGCCACATCTTTCACTCTTGTCATCTTCCCCATGCCCCGAACCACACGCACGAGCACTTCAACGACCCTGAGCAGCCCACCACAACTCTACCACCTCATGAGCTCAACTCCGGCGTAGTCCCACCTTGGATGCAGAGGATACATGTCTCCGCACTCATCAAGTTCCTCAACACCCAGCCTCCAGTCCCTGAAGGTTACGAACGCAAAAATGTCTCAACAATACGAGGAAGCGCCTACGCCTACTGCGTGCCCTGGCCTTCGCGTCCGCATTCGCAGCGTGAAACTGCAATTCAGCGACACAACAGCTCCTACTTTGGAGGAACTCCATGGTTTTTCTAGACTCTCTCAGTGATGAGATCTGTGTACCTGAGTCAGCGCCCATCTTAGCGTCCTTTAGGTCTCGAGGAACTTGTCAGAGTGAACTTCGTTACCTAATATATGGAGGGGTGCACTCTACACAT